CAGTATACTATGAAGAATTTTGTAGGGATTATTTGAAACATTGAGATAGACCTTCTCTGAAAACTGGTACACTAAACAAAATCAGATACCTCAAAAGTGACAGTTTGATAAAACTTTAAACTAAATGATAAATCAGATATATGAGGTAGCCAATTGCTATCCCTACAAATAGTCTTTCTCCTAATTCTATAAACAACTAAAAACTGGTTATAGTAAAAATAGTAATTCTATTTTAAAATGTGTAGATCTTGACATCCTTTCTTTAATTAAGAGTATAACTCATTTGCATATATTATTCCTCAATGGTGAAAGAATCTTGGATAATAGCATTCATCACTTCAAAGTCAATTTATTTGTTTTTCAATGTGTGATTGTGTTATGAACAGTTTCACCCCAGCCTGTCCATAATCACATCAGCCCCAAAATGACACACAGTGATGCTGTATTAATGATGAAACTGTTACCACATTTTTTTATTGGCTACCTATGTCTTAAATATTAACTCATTTCTATTAATCTAAGTATTTCCATGCAGTGTTTACTTACCAGAGAGAGGGTCTGAACCTCTTCTCTCATGTCCTACATCTTGACAACACTCTACTACATCTCCCAGAATCATCCTTGTCTCCTAGTCCTGCAAGTTTTGCTTTCCTTTAGGCCAACAATGCTTTATTCATTAACCAATTAAAGAAACATATTTACAGAATGACATCTTCCATCATCTTTATTGTCCATTTTCTATTGCACACTACTCGAAAAAAATCACCTCATATTCAACTCTGGATTTGTACATTATAGAAGTGTATCAGGCATCCTGTCAGAAATTAGGAAAGATGACATTAATCAATTCATTTATAACTAGTTTCTGATAATTATGCAAAAGCAGCACCATGCAGAGAATTGCAAAGGGTATTATAGTTTACATGGATAAATAAAGCTAAATAGTACACTAGATGACAATGATAGTAACTGACTTGAAAACATTTATGTCAGCAAGAAGGAGAAATTTATTAGCATATCTAGGGATTTTTTGAGGTGAAATGCTTTTCAATGATTCATTTCTAAAAATAAATGAACAAATAAATTTTATTTGAATTTACAACAAGCTTGTTCCCTCACCCTCCGCTCCTCCCCTGACACATCAGACATCAGATCCCATATCTCATACCAGGCTCTCTTGCACAAGGCAATGATGAGGATAGAAGCCTCAGAGTTTCATAAGAAACACCACATCAACAGCAAAGGTTTAAAAAAGGATTTTTCTATCACTTGGCAAGAAACCAAGGAAATAGTAAGGAAATGTCTTACTTGTTCATTCTATAAGCAAACTCCTTTACCACCAGGCAGTAACCCTAAAGGTGTAAATAGGAATAAAGTATGGCCAATGGATGTGTTTCATTTTGAAGAATTTGGAAAATTAAAATATGTATATCACACTATAGATACATTTTTCATGGGTTCAATTGGCCACTGCCATGAGCTCTGAAAAAGCTGATTCTGTTATTACACACCTATTAGAGGTAATGGCAATTATGGACATACCTGTACAAATAAAAACTGACAATTCTCCAGCATGTGTTTCTAGCAAATTGAAACAGTTTTTTGAGTATTATAACATAAAACACATAACTGGTATACCACACAATCCTACAGGACAAGCAGTAGTTGAGAGATCCAACCGTACTTTAAAAGAAATGCTCCATAAACAGGCAGGGCGAACCAAGACAACCAAACACAGATTACATAATGCTTTATTAACATTAAACTTTCTTATTGCTGATGAAAAAGGAAAAAGAGCTGCAGAAAGACACCAGGCAATAGAAAAAAACATATGAACTAAATTAGCCAGTGTATCTCACAGATGTATTGACCTCAGAAGGGAAACCAGGATATGGTTATGTTGGGGTAGGGGTTTCACATTTGCATCTACAGGAGAAGAAAAACTATGGATACCATCTAAGTTGATCAAGATCTGAGTTGAACAAGATAAACATCTTAATGAAGAAAAATGACAAATCATCCAACAAATTAGGTCCCATGAGATGTACGGAGACCTCTCAAAGGTAGGGGAAGTGTTCTGTTCTTGTTCTTACAGGAAAACAGAGAAAACCTATCTTCAAACAGCCAAAAGACACTTAACATGTAGGTACCTACAGAAATGAAGACAGCTCTCCAGAAAGACCCACTTAATGAAGATGAATCTGATTTATGGTAAAAATATTTAATTCTAGTAAACTACTTCTATACAGAAACCTATTTCTCTTTACTATCTAATATTCCTGTAGTCCCAATTCATGTAAACCATTTCTGGCTTTGGAGTTGGATTTGGCCTTCCTTCTCTAAATTCAAGCATGTTGTTGATATTAAATTTACAGTTTCTGTCTTATATCAAGGATCCAATTGGTGTAAGTCAGAAGAAAATAAAATCTGGGGACTCATTTTCTTATACACAATTTTCTCTCTGAAATCCTAATTTTCTCATGTACATTTTAATGCTTATTGTTGCCTTTCCCTATATGCATACCTTAAAACTTGAAAATTTTACTTTGATATTGATGTTTACATTTTCCACAAGGAATAATAAAAATTCCTAACAGCAATATTTTAATTCTCTGGAAAGAAAATGGGGCCCCAATTTGACAGTTCCACTTGACTCAACCTGATGCATGTGGACTACAAACTTACCCCTACATCTCGTTTGAGACTTTTTTGCTCTAGACAACTCATGGCTAGCTACCTGTAATGGTGCAGCTTCTTATTTCACCCTGGAAAATTTCAAATAGAACTCCAGTCAAGCATTTCCTGCCACACAGTAACTATCTACATATGTCAAATCCAGTTTTGTTGAGAAATTTGGTTGCTTAAATTTTTCTTCCTACAGGATACCATGGAGCAATCATCACCCCATTTCAGCAGGAAGTAATCTTAAAATGATGACACCTCCTTTCCCTTTTCTTGGAATTTAGGGATAATATTCATCTTCTTAGGGTTGGTTTTAGCTACTTAGAGTTGGGTATGGAAGGTCATGCTCAGACTCAGGTTTATGTCTTTTAGACAGGAATAGGTAATTGCTGGGAAAAGTAAGGTTTAGAATGGATATAGGTAGATTAGCCTATCTTCTTGTGAATTATTTAGTAGAATGAGATATTAGTAATATATAGCTTACATTGTTATATATTCTTATTTGTGGTAATCTATGTAAAATTAAGTTCATATTCCCTTCCCAGAAGAATTGTACATTTTGTCATATTGTGTAAAATCTTTCCAATTATGATGTTTTATGCACATTGTATTCTTTTACTTATGTTCAAGACATTTTGTATATTGATACAATTTGGGATATTTTTATCATGCTGCCCTTTATAGTTCTACCTCTTGTCTAGACATTTCTACTAGACATTTCTACTCTAACTCTATTTTAGGGATTTGCATGTATATATACATACATAGTTATATTGTTTAGGTATTTGTCCCTAATTTACTCAAGGAAATTTCAATCCATTTTTTAGCTAAATTCCTGAGTTTTACAGATTATATTCGCCCATGTTTCATTCACCTATGATATTAGTCAGACATAGATGCTCAATCTTCAATCACTTTATGGACATGCAGAACATGGCATTTAAATGCTTTAATGTTAGTACTCCATTGGCATGAGACAGTGTTGCTCCTGACAGCACCATGCACTTTCCCGAAAATATGTTGGACACTGCTGTTCCTTCTGGAATTGAACATTTACCTCTTGCAGGGGCCATTTCAAGGCCAAGATTTATTAGTTAAGATAGATATGTCAGCCTCTGTGTCAACAATCCTTTCAAACAGTCTGTTATTCATCTTAACTATCAATTTAGGCCTTTGACTGTTTATAGAGGCTTGCCAAAATATACGTTTATTGTTTCCTTCTTTGATGTTTGATTCAACTCTCATCACTAGTTTGTCATCCAGATCGGTATGAGTTTTTACAATAGGCACAGGAGTTTCTAATTGTCCTGTAGGAGATTGTCCTCCACAGTTACTGGGAATGTTTGGACCACCTTTGACATGGGGGCCTTCAAGAGGACCCCCAAGGAGGTTTCCAATAGTAAAGGGTTTCCTTGCTTATCTCTGGTTGATATACACTCATTAGTCCAGTGTCAGCCTTTGCCATACCTTCTATATAACCCAGAAGGCTGAGGCCTTCCGTTCAATTCATTCCTTGGACAGTTATTTCTAGAGATGCTTTGCCTATAATTTCTTTTTAGATGTCCTATCTTATCACAGTTATAACATCTGGCATTTTCATATCTTTTCAACCCTTTGGAGATGGCTTCTCCTACCCAAGCTTCTATGTTGCCATAGTTAAGACCTCTGTTATCATGACGTCTTTTCAGACCTATAGATTTGGCTTCTTCTACCCAAGCTTCCGTGTTATTGTCATTATACTCAATGTTGGCTTTATATACGACAGATTCATCCAAGGGTGCTGATCAAATTTTTAAAGGCCAAAGTCCTTTTTGCACTGTGAATCCACATTCTCATAGTCTAATGATTCTATGAGTATTCACCTAGAATCTATGTCGGCTACCTCTAATTGTACTGCCCTAGATAATCTTTCCAGAAACACAATAAAGTGTTCTCTAGGTCCTTGCCTTATCTTGGTATAGGAGTCTATCCTCTCCCCTAATTCATGAACCTTATCCCAAGCATTCAGAGCAGCTGTACTGCATAGAGACAAGATATGTTCATCACATGCAGCTTGGGTTTCTGGGTCAGCATAAAGACCCTCACCAAGAATTTTATCTTGGGGAGCTTTATAACATTTCTTTAAGTCCTGAAGTACAAGAACTTTGCTTCCTCTCTCCATAAAGCCCTCCATTGTAATTGAGAGCTGTTTTCAAGGACAGTTGATATTAATTGATCCCAATCCTTAGGGGTTACCTTATTATTCCTTGCCCATGATTCTGTTAATTGATTCACATATGGTGAGTGCATGCCATAAGAGACTATTGTTTCCTTTATACTTTTTAAATCTTTCATAGATATTGGTTCCCACTGGTATGCAATGACACCTTTTGGGTGTTTTTTCGTTGATGGTTTTTCATTATAGATATAGAGAAAGCTCCCTGACACTGTGTAGAGAATATTAAGTCTTTTCATGCCCTGTTACCTGCAGTTCTTCTTCTGATGTATAAGATTAAAGGTCTTCTAAGGCCTGAAATCTATTCACCATTGCTTCTTTGAGTGTCTGAACTTCTTGAGTCAAATAACTTTCTAGAGATTTCCTTGCATTAGTCAGTTTCTTACTTTCTCCAACTATGAATGATTCTATGTTTTTAATATTCTCATTCTTAGTTATTATCTGAATGGCATGTAAACTGCCTTCCAGAAACAATGTTCTATCTGCTAGCTTGCCATTATCCTCAGACATGGAAGAGATTCTATCATCTAGTCTTTCTATCGGATGTTCCAGTTTTTTAAACTTGTAGTTTCATCCGACCAGGAACGCGCCATTTCTGCTAGAGTGTTAATGCATTGCATTGTTTCTGTTTTAGTTATTTACATGGAACAAATTCTGTTTTCTAACTGGTCATTTTTCTGTTCAATGTTTTGTATTCTATCTGTCAGCTCTCTATTGCCATCTTCCATATTCTGAACCTTTTTTCCTAAGTACTCTATGTTTTGCATTCTGTTATTTTCAATGTTTTGAATCCTTGTTACTAAGTTTCCTATGGTATGTACAGGTTCTTTATTTTTTGCTCAAATCTCAAACCAATTCTTCAAGAATATCATACTAATGATGAAACCCATTGCTATTACAAAAAAAATGTATATATTGGTCCATTCATAATGTTCTTCTGCTAAAATTCCTTCAATATGAAGTAAAAGAATTCCTAAATTCCTGCATTGTAAAATTATCTGCCATAGGTATGGAACAATTGATCTCAGATATTATATCAGCTTAAATTGCAAAGGATGTTACAATTACCTTAGGTGTAATTCTGCTGTTCTGGACATTTGATGTTTTTAGTTGTAGATCTCAATTTGTGGTAGTTATGCCTGGAGGTGTACCACCAAATATCATCCAGCAGCAAAGGATCCTTCCGATCCTGGTTCTATCCAAAAGTGAACCACAAAATAGTGTGAAAGTGTACTACCAAATAGCTTCTGGGAGCAGATGATCCTTCTGATCCCAGTCCCTGTAGAATAGTTCTTAACAAACTAACGCAAGCAAAATTTTGTTAAATAAAGTAGTGATGTTTTACACATTGCTGGGACCCCAGGGCTAACAGGTGCTGCCTGCAACTGGTGCCGCCAGGCCGAAAGCACACAAACAGGGCATTGCACAGCAACACAGGAGTGGGGACAGGTGCAGCAGTGCTCTGTGCAAATACAATGTGAGGGAATGGGCAGGAGATGAGCAGTGGTCTCAGAGCCATAGTGGATATAAAAGGAATTAGGGCAGACACAAATGTCTTACAAGCTGTGGTGTGTCTGCCTGGTTAGGCAAGATATCCCTGTTCAGTGATGGTGGGGGAAGGGAAAGGCATTTGCCACCTGGGTGAATCCCAGGTCCTGTGAAAATCCTGGTCCTGCTTCTGACACCAGATATCATGGTTTAATAAGGATCAGGAGAAACAGGCCAAATAGATGTTTATTTAGGGAGAAATAACTTACAACCTAGACAGATAAACACCAGCAGGTTCCACCTGATGCTCTCCTCTCCGTGTCCCACCAGCAGAAGGGCATTCCCCGGCTCCTCCTCAGACCTGGTTCCACAGGCCACTTCTGCCCCTGGCTCCACCCCCCCCAAAATGGGCTTGGTCAGTGCCACAGAAGGATACAATGTGACTATCCCACTAGTCTCTGGTGCCTCTGATCCTATCAGCTTGCTATTCTATATTCATGTGAATTTCATTCACAATGTTTTGCATACTTAGCTCCTTTTCATGTCAGATTTTAGCTCAAATGTCACTTTTCAGAAATGCTTCTCTGGGAGGTTATTTAAAATTCTTTTACATCCTCTTCCCCACCCAAGTTCTATTTATATATAATCCTCTATTTCCTACATATGTTTTTATACTTTAGTAGTCCATTATTTTTCTGTCTCTTCTTCAAGTGATCATAAATTATTCTCAGTAGGAACTCAATTTTGTTTGTTACCATATCCTCATTATTGAAAATATACCTTGAGAGAAAGGATAAATTTATTAAGTACTTGATGGACATAACAATCAATACTATGTGCTTTGAGTTTTATTTGTGCTAGTACCCACACAAAATAGGCTCTGTTAACTGTGTATTATATGTGAATTTCATTGAAGAATTTATTAAAAAAATAAGGTAAGGTATGAAATGATTCTCAGTGGGGAGTTAAAAGAAGGAACATCAAGATGTGAACTTTGAAAAGTATTCCTGTGATCATTGTATAGTAATTTTCTAATCAGATTTGCCCCTATAAAATTCACCATTTTAAGTCATAACTTCGAGTTCTTCCAAATCACACCATATTTGCACTGAAAAGCTCTAAAGTAAATATGAAGTTAAAGGGGAGTAGTTTGGCCCACAATTCTTTAAGGTCAAGTATTTCTTATAAGAGAAGGAAATTGAATAGGTAAGTGGGGAAGATCACAAGAAGACAGAGAGAAATCAGTCATCTCTGAGTCACAAACAGAAATGTCTCAGGAGAAAGCAACCTGCATTCATGTCCATCTCTTTTTTCTCTAGCTCTGGATGTAAGAAAACACATTTCTCCTCTTTAAAACACAAATTATGCATTTTACATCCTGACTGAAGTTTCCCTTCCTTCCTCTATGTCCAGTCCCTTCTATATCTCCATTCTGCTCCACCCCCATACATTCTTCTGTTTCTATCAAGGAAAGAGTGGGCCTCCACAGATATCAATAGAACATGGCATATCAAGTTGTTGAGCATCTTGCCTTGCATTAAGCAAAGTTATAACTAGTCACAATTAGAGTAAACACAATTTAACTGTAATGATGCCTACCATATTGTACTATACTCAGATTTGTTTCTAGCCCAAATAAAGGGGTTTCATCCAGTACCTTGTGGAAAATGATGCAGAGAACCATAGTAAAACACTATGCCAAGCTCAGAGAATCCTTCTGAAGAGACAGGTGAAGGAGTGTAACAGTCAGAGAGTTTAAGAACACCACAAGAAAACCTTTTCTGTTCTTTTAGTGATCCGTAGAGTATGAAAATTGTTGTCTTAATAACAATTGGAAGGAAGAAACTGAGTCAAAGAACCATTATGGACTCAAAGGAAAACTAAAATTTGGTGAAGAGCCATATAGACTGACATTTACTTTGTATGGTGACACTAGTGATAGCCAACACAGTTGGAAAAATGAGACAGAAAATGAAAGAAAAATGTGCAAAGCATGGTAAGACAAGGAAAATAAAGGAAATTCTTCCTTCAGCGGCACACGCTAAAGCAAAGGAGGATGAGTGCTCCTGTGCAAGGCAGGATTTACTGAAGTTACTGCTTTATGTCAAATGTGAACTGAAAGCTAACAATGCATGGGACTGATCACAGGCATCTTATACCAACTGGAAACAAGAGAGGCTGTTTTCAGGGTAGTCACTGTTATTCTAACCCTGCTTCCATACATGAGATACAAATTCTCCAGAGACTAAATCATAATAAATATAAAATATTAAACACCAGAGGATATTAACTATCTCATCTAACAGTTTAAACAAACACTTCCAGAGCTTTGTAAAAGCAGGACAGGTCTGCTTTTTAAATCTGTAACCAGATGTGATTACTGGTCTTTGTTTCTGCCACAATGATGATGGAGAAGAAAAATTAATTGCAATTTTGATGAATGAAATGCCCAACATAATAATAGTTTTCAACAGATCATTGTTTTCACTCTTTAATTTCCACCCAGCAAAAGTTTTATTTCAATGGTACATCATCATAATTGCCAATTTTATAAACATCAGGCAGTGCAGGTGCATGTGAAAACTCACTCTCTGCTGTAAACTCAATGGACACCAAGAAAATATAGAGGTGATTATGGAACTGTAGAATTTCTTTGGAGGTTCGAACAATATCTTCCCTAAACAAACAGAAAAAATCTGGAATACATCTGGGTCATCCAGCAGCCAATTGTGTTCATTAGTTTTGTGTCAGTCTGACCAAAACACCTGACAAAACAACGTAATGGAAGAAAGATTCGTTTTGGCTTGTGGTATTAGAAGTTCAACATCATGGGAGACATATGATAAATTTGCAGACAGTGGGAGCCTGTGGCCTTGGCGTTTCATATCACAGTGACCAGGAAGTACAGCAGGGGAATGAAATTATCAACTCCCTTTAGAGTTACCCAATTACATCATAGACCCCACATCCTAAATGTTCCATGTTTTCAGCGCAGAAGTGGGTGCAGATCAGGACAAACTTTCAAAGCATTAGGGGCATTTCATATTTAAACCACAATAAAAAACCTGTGTACATAGAGTTAATATTTAGCCATATAATAATTTATTTCTATTCCCTATCAGTTCTATTCCCTATTTACTATTCTTAAAAATTAGAATCCTTGGGAGAGTGAGGCCTTCCATGGGGAGTCTTCAGTGTCTATGATATCATTTGGGGCAGGACCTAGGCTCTTCCCCATGTGTCTAGGCTAAGAAAGTATTCCTCTATGAGGAATGGGCTCCCAAAGTCCATTCATATACTAGGGATGATTACTGATATATTACTAGAGGCCCCACAGACTGCCCAGTCCTCCTCACCAACACCCACTTTCAGGGGGTCTGGTCAGTCCTATGCTGGTTTCCCCCATCAGATTGGGGTATGTGACTCCCCCTTGTCCTGGTCAGCTGATTCTGTGGGTTTCTCCAGCCTGGTTTTGATCCCTTTGCTCATCAATCCTATCTCTCCCTGTAATTGGATTCCAGGCACATGGGGGAGTTCCTAGGCCCTGCCCCAAATGATATAATAGACTTTGAAGACTCCCCATGGAAGGGCTCATCCTCCCTGGGGAGCAGAAAGGGGATGGTTTGGAGTTTTGTGGGGGTGACAGGGGAGTATGGGAGGGTGAGGGAA